CTGCAGTTTGGTGGTCCAGCAATTGCCAGATTCTTGACCTACAATTCTGTTTTCTGCCTACAGTACTTCACATTCCTTGTTAATCATTTATTGAAGCACTCATTAGCACCCGATAGCAGACCATCTCAGGTGTAATCACTAACTGATGCTCAGGCAAACATATTTACTGGATTAAAAAATAACATTTATTTGTTAATGATGGTAACTAATGGAATAACTCAAGTTACTGCAGACACAGAGTTCTGGAGGATCCCCTCTGTCTGCACTTCAGGGATTTACCACATTTACTGCTTAAATAGCACAGATGTATTGCTAGTCAGATAGTCACAAGTGAAACACTAGTTACTTTACTTCACTGCCTACTACTGAAAAGAAATGTGTATTATAATTTCCTCCTTCATTTTCCTTCTATAAAACTTCAAACTTCACAGTTTTCTGCTCACATATTCTGCTAAAAATGTGAAGTAACTCATTGGAACTGGGATCAGGTTCACCTCTGCTGCAGCTGCAGGAAAGTGAGGAGAAGGTAAGCAAAGAGGGGCAGCCTTGGCAGGATGGATACTCTGGCATGGTGTGAGAGTACATACGTGCCATGCTCCCAGGCTCCAGTTTCCTGTGCCCCGCTCTCTGCCAGCCTGCACTTGAACTGCACTGCTGCAGTAAGGAAATAAGGATCTCCTCCAACCTTGCCTTAAGAATTTGCAGGAAACTAGGAAATCAGATGCTTGCAGAGTATAAACAAAATCTGGCAGATTATATTCTCCATCTTAAGTAAAACAGCAAATAAATTTAGACTTGGCAGAAGATGGAATTTCAGGAAAACCTGAAAATCAGAAAAACACTTGTCAAGTGTTGAGCCACCCTAACATTAGGCTAAATTAGATACTGTGCCTCCCCATACTGAGCTATTTTAAACCAAACTCCTTGGCCCTGCTTAAAGAACCCTTCTTCCACCTTACACTCTATTGCTGAAGTAGAACATAGCAAAATTATTTCTAGCTAATCCAATAGAAAAGAGAACTCTCAAAGAGATATCTTTCTTTGAACAACCAGTGTTATGCAACTTGTTGAGATTTCAGGTCAAGTTTCACTACATTCAAGATTGGTGGTCGGAAACAGTCACAGCAGCTGAGTATCACATCAGGCCAATATGACAAAAATAAACACCAGCAGTATAAAAAGGACAGAGAGGTGAACAAGTTGTCCTTGCTTTATTCTCATAACTTCTTACTACAGAGCATTTGAGAGTTTGCATTTAAAAGTACATGATCACAGAAGCTATGAGCAGATGAATGTGTGTGCATGCACACACAAGGAATTACTCTGAATTAGAGCTCGGTTTTTGTCAGATACAATGACTGGAACATGTGCAGCAGAAAAAAATAAGTAGGTTAGCAAAAGAGGAGATTGTATTTATTTCTATATAGGAATGAAAACCACGATATAACTGAGTTCTTAAGTGGCCCACAAAATGGGAAAAGACAGTAAATACTCCCTTAGTAGCAGGAGCTTCCACAAATCTGTCTGCAGAAATGCAGAACAGCTTGTAATGCTCCTGTACATGCTGCTTTCATTTGCCTTTAGTTGGATATTAACAGACCTATATAGGATTATGGCATCCAACTGGATTTAAAATGAAGTAATATTTGTAATGTTTTCGATAAAACACTTCTCCCCTTGAATTCAGGCCTGGAGATGGCTGGTTTTGCAGTATTGCTAGTGCAAGTAGGAATGATTGAAACATTTCGAATACATATTTGAAGCACCCTGATGAACATTATGGAGAAGGGCAGATGCCTTTTGGACATTATGATTTCTCTACATTTTGCACAGCTGTTACATGAGACATTGCTAATCAGAGCAGTTACTGAGAGCTCAAGCCAGAGCACAGGCATACCTGCTCGATTCTCACCACATAAGCATAAAATATATGTGTAAATAGCACTATTCCTATACTTTGTAAACATAGAAATAGAGATATGGGATTCTCTTGCTCACAACTTTCTGCTCATATCTCTTGCTCCCTCTGGGAGTAACAACTGACCTTATTGTTTCGCACTTTGCTGACACATCTGCCCCTCTGCTTCTGAGATGCCAGTCACAATGTTCTTTCATACAGATTAAAACCATTATATTAAACTCAGAACAAACGATCCTCACTCAGCTTAAAATTTGCTGTCTCTTAGATATCAGGAAGCCTATGTATCTAAAACTTTGCTGCCTTTTTATCCCCAGCTATATTAGTTGGTCAGGTAAAAATCTTTATGGATCTTCAGAAGCTTTTCCAGTAAGTTTGAGACACTTTACTCAAATGATACTGGAAGAAAAAACTGCTACTGAGTTGAAGTAACAGGAAAAGAGGCAAGAACGTTAGAAATAAGGAAACACTGCAATAGGCTTTTGATTGTGTTGCTCTTGATACAAGGTTATGCAGCAAATAACTTCAAATTTGAATTGTATCTACCCTATTTTATATTTTACTTTTTTTTCCAAACAGAATTATTTAGCACTTCCTACAATGTTCTTGGTATCATATGTATTGGCCAGCACCGACTGTGCTGCTGGAGTGGATTGCATCTAGAGGATAGAAAGCAAAAGCTGACCAGCTGGGATGCTTGGCTTGTGGGTGCAAGTTGCCTGACGCTTGTTAGTGATAATAAGCTATTCTCTAAATCCTGCACACAGTCAGTGGGTAGGACAACACTAAAGCAAATGGTGGCTTGGACACCTGTCTCTGAGCACTATCTCTACAGCCTACAGTCCAAAATTTGCCATGACGTGATCTATGGACAAATCAAAGACTGATCAAAATTGCTTGGGTTCAGTCATCTGAGATGTCTCTGATACCTCTCATTATTCTGGCAGCTGCTGTTAAGGACAGCATCAAAGAAGCAATAAAAATGAGGAGGATGTTGAAGAGACTAATTAAAGGATTAATGTTTCAGCATAGGTAGGGAACAATTTTAAGTTGTAATACAGCCCAGATTTTGAAAGGTCTGTAACTTCTGATTTAAGTACTTCTGCAAGTGTCTGAAGCAGAAACAAAAAACCTTCAAGCTGGAGCCTAAACCCAGCTGTGACACAGGCAAATGCAACTATGTGTACAATATAAAGGGATTTGCATTGCAACCAAATTAAAAGTTACTACAGGAATTGAAGGCAGACAAATAGGCAACAGCAACAACATACTGTAGGTAGCTTATCTTTCAAACATAAAATGTGATATTGTTTTACCAGGGACTGAAAGGATGCAGATCTACTATGAAGCCCTAAATCAGATGGACTGAGATAACAGGAACATCCTATCCCATTTTCTGACAACACATATAAATAACACAGAACCTAACAAAATGTGCAACAAAATTCTACTTAAAGTTATTTTCTAGAAGAACAATAATTTTTTCCAAAGATTTATGTGTCACCTTGGTAGCTGCATTTCTTGGTGGTTTAGAGGAACAACTAGCTGGAATTCTTAGATAATTCACAAAAGTAATTTAAGGGACCTTCAAGATGGCATCTGCTCTCTCCTCAATGTATTCTGAAGCATGCTGACTGAGTTCACTGCAAGCAGGCAGATGCCTGACTTGGCAGGTTCTTGTCTGAATTTGATATGCCATAAATCACATTCACGATGATCAACCATCACATCATCATGGAAAAACTGTGGAACTTTCTAGAGCTGGTTTTCCTGACTATGGGCTATGACATGGCCAGAAAATAACCAGCTGAGGAACAGTTGTGTGGATGATGAAGTAATCGATATTAAGTGGGAAAATACTATGTGCAAATATGCGAGCCAGAATCTTATTGTACAACAGTTTCAGGTAAGTTTAGCCCGAGTTCTGGACCACTTATTGAGAGATCAAAGCTCTCTTCCACCTGAATTCATATTTCCCCTTCCTTAAACACAATAATCAGACATTAGGTTTCCAAGGCCAAATGGACTGATTTCACAAACAAGCTGTGTGGGAGATGTATGACAGGCACAGTTTCACTTATCTTTCTGCAATACGTTAACAGGAAGTATTATTCTCAGTTTAATTCTGCAGAATAAAAGGAAAGAGCAATGGATTCAAAAAAAAAGGAAATAAAGGGTGAGGCTTTCTAGCGGCAGTAGAATAATTTTTGATACTAAAAGTAGTTGGTATCTAAATAGAATTACGTATGATTTAAATATGCACGTGTGGTAGTCCAAAAAGTAGGGTGAAACTGCATTTAGAAATTAGTTGAAGCCAAATTTATAGCCAGCTAAGGCAAACAGAGGATATGGATGCAGTTGATTAACTTAGTACACTAAAGCAAATTTGAACAAAAAGCCCACAAAAGAAACAAACATGAGCTTGTTCCAGCTGCCTCCTCTGTCTGAAGATATAGGTCCTCTTTGTGCTGCTGGCGCAGATCTGAAGAAAAGAAAACAAAAAGGATGTTCACAGCACAGAGCTGAGTTAGGATTCTTTTAAATATCAGGCGGTTGTAGCCAAGGATGAAGTCTGCAGTCCAAGGGCTAAGGTAGAAGTTTCTTTGTAAGAGCTTGCCACCAGATTCCCTTTGGCTGTCACAATGTTATAAACAGGATATTTATGCAAAAAAGCCCTGGGAACACTTCTTTCTACCTGCATACCCAATCCTCCTTGTTTCTCCACATCCATTTACTGCCTCTGGCCTTATGCTTGAGATTGTATAAAGCAAATCTAGACAGCAGTGGTCCTAGAGGTCTATTTTTACAGCAGTTGATTCAACAGTATCCAGATCCATTTCTAAGCCCCCCTGACATTGCAATAATGCAAGTAATAAATACCTCTACTAATAAGTTGCGTCTGGTTTCCTTTTCTACTCATGTTTGTAAACCATCTATGCCATCTAGTGGGTAGTTTTTTATTTACAAGTTTTCTGCAAATACCAGGGTGACAACAAGCCCAAATCCAAATTTTAACTCAACAGGACCATAGATCAAGTTTGCAGAGGAGTTAAGAGCCACTATTGCTACCCAAGAAGCCATCCCTCTGCTACCCTGACGCAGCCTTCTCCTTTGGTATCCCAATGTAACAGGAACTGTGGAAACAAGAAAAGTCACTTGGACAACTTTGTTTTGTTGCTCGGAGCATTATTCTCCAGAGGCTGAGAAGGCAGCTATTAACACTGTAACAGCAAATAGCCATTGTGAAAGGGGATGTAACAGAGCCTGCACGCCTAGCCTCACTACTTATTATAGAAGTGTATACCCTGAGCACACGCTCTGCAAGGGAAACTTTTCCTGACAGGTAACATGTTCTTAATAGTGACATCCCTACTGACCAAACTGTTCCTATGTCAGTTAATGGACTCTCAGAGAGCAGTGATCCATCCACAGAGAAAACAGATCTAGAAGATAATCATCAAATAATTTATATACATCTGCATAGGGCAGCTAATTTCAATGCAAATATTATTTATTGCAGAGAAGTGATTTGGGAAGAGTGCAAGTATTCATTGTCTTGAAGTATTTTAGCTGTGTAAATTTCAGGGAAAGGCAATGATAACATTCAGACTCTGACCTGATTAGGGATAGCACAGATAAGAAGTGAATCAAGCCTCTTACACTGCCACCTATACAGGAGGGGATAGAAGGCTCAGGAAGGCAAGAAGCAAAGAAATTTCCTAAGGAGGATGATAGCTGAGCTGCTTAGTAGCTACCCCAAGAGAGTATGAGACTGGTGCTTAGAATACAGTAGTTATTATGTTAATTTAAGGACCAGTGTGGATGGAAAGGAAGGGGTGGCTGCTCCCCGGCTTACATACTGCAAGTGTTATGTGGTAATACTGGAGAACTGGTATTCTCATCCCTTAGGTGAAAGGAAAAAGACACTAATGTTTTCCAAAAGCCTTCTCATCCAGGTTTCCTCACAAAACTTTGCGGGAAATGGTTTAAAACCTGGGAGAAGAGAAAAACTTCTGTTAGGAGTTCACAGGTTTATATATTTTAAAATCCTGTAAAGTGCTTTTCCTCCAATTTGTTAATAATGTCACCATGTTCACAACTGCAATTTTGCATGGGGCAGCTGTATTTTCTTTTGACACGTGAACAAAAGCCTTACCATAAAACCCTATTTTAATCCACCATGTGAGCAGTTATCCAGTAGCAAACAAATGCCAAACAGGACTGGAAGCCTGTTCTATGATCTACTACCTAGGAGTCCAGAGCTATCTGATATGTAAAATGCAACCATTTTCATCACACATTTATAAGTTGGTGCTGGGATATAATTTGGATGTAAGAATAAAAGTTGCATGACAAGGTGAGTAAAAACTTTCAGTGACCAGCAGGAACAGGGGGTGTAAGGTGTACACTTTGTAAGGGAACATATGCTACAGAAAGTGATATACAACACCTTTTCTGTACTGCATGAAGCATTACGGCCACACAACCAAAGTCAGGCTAGTAGAAGTTGCACCTCTCTGCTGCCATAACCAGGAGTAGCAAAACAGGTTTTTCATAGCAGAAGTTATCATTGCTGTATTACATAGGTATCAACATACAAAAGATTTGCAGGTGCTTGAATTAGGGCAGAAAGGACAGTAGGAGGTAGGATACAGCCAAATGTATGGATTATGCATAAAAATAATGTAACTCAAGAACAACTTTTATGCATCCATATATCCTTCTACTTTCAAACTGTGAGGAAGTTTTCATATTTGGGTGTTCAAATACCTTATGTGTACCTACACATGCAGCAGCATATAGATTAAGAAATTTAATTATAATTGAAAACAGTCATCTTTATTGTAAATTTACTGCAATACATAATAAATCAATTTAATCCTCTTTTTATAATAAAGCAAAATACAGACAGAAAGGGAGAGTATAAAACCTAGTTTGGGAGTGATGCTTGCTAACTGAGAAAGTTATATGTTGGATGTAATATGCATTCCCTGCAGATAACCTACTGGCCCAAAGTAAAGACATTAAAATACAGAAATTGGGTTTGCACAAAAAATGAAAGATTAAAAAAAAAATCCTCAAAATTTGGAATTGAAAGTTCTAGTAGCTGGAGAAATGCCCTTTAGATCTGTTGCCATTTGACCTACAATTTCATTATTCACAGAAGAATATCAATGAAAGCAATTTCAAATTTGTAACAGATTTGGCATCAAAACACTGATATATACAAACTTCATCCATACCACCAGTGATACACAGCGTGATTGTGCAATTGATGAACTGATTAACACTCAATTTTGAATAGCAGGTGCTCACAGACAATTGTGTGCAATTTGTAGATAGAAACTGCTCACTCAGTACACAGTAAGTAATAAATTCAAGAATACTGCATATTGTGTATGAGTGATAGATAATAGATGGTAGAGGTGGAATATGTTGAACTGTTGACTTCTGCATTATTTGGTTGTAATGACACTGAGGATGGATTGAACTTCTTTTACTTACGATGAAAGGGTACACTTAGAATCATCAGGATAATCCACACAAAGTAAGAACATTACAGACCTGTGAAGATATCATTTTATTTAGCATCTTTGGGGCAGAAAAAAGAAGAAAACAAATGAAAAAATCCAAAACAAAATCAACAGTATTATCATGTCTAAAGCTTCCCTTCAATTATATTTACTTGCAATCTAGTGTAAATAACTAGAGCTGTGAATACTACTGAGAATAACTAGTAATCCTGCAGATTACTAGTGTTTTTCACTGTTGTTTGGATTTTCAATATAAATACAGATTTTATAATGAAGTGGAATACATGAGGCCATCTTCTTTGTCTGATACTGGGTAATTAATTATACAATTATACAATACGGTGTAGTGTTCTGCTCAATTCATGGCTGAAAAATGCCAAGTCTGAAAAATATGACATATATCCATCATATCCATCATATCCAATATATCAGTCTCTTACTGAAGACACAAGATTAATTGCATTTAAAAAGGTAAGAAACCATTTAGAATAGATGAGGTGCTTTTGCAAATACACTATAGTAACGAAGGAATTTCACTTACTTGTAATTGTCAGTGCAGATGACATCATAACCAAGGGTTTTCAATCTGTTTTCTAGTTTCTCTACACTGTTAGTTCCACAGGACTCTCTGTGAGAAAAGATTTTAGTATTATTGCATTTCCTTTCACTGAACCTGATGGAATTACTTAAGTAAATCCCCATTATTTTGGCTCTTCTGTATTCCTTAACACCTACAGAAAACTGGTGTACAATCCTATTTATAATGCTTCACTTTCTTACAGTCATTTAATATTTTATACTCAGTTTGCAGATACTGGAATGTTGGCTTCAGTCACTGTAGCACTTGCAGGTTCTATTAATCAATATTCCCACATCTAATATTTCACTAGACAAACAGAAAAAGAGCTAGTTAGTTTTGTAAAATAATAATGAGTGTTTCATTTGTAATATTCTTTGGCAGCTTTTTAGGTGGTGCTAAAGTTGATGCCAGCTGTCTCTACAGAATAAGCTGGTTATAATAAATTAGAATTATTCTTGTTGTTAGGCAATTGCTCTCTTTCTTAAATACAGAACAGAAAAAAACACAAGGAGAAAGGAAAAAAAAACAACCCAGAAACAATCCTAAAATGCAGCTTCTGTGGTCTAGCAATGATTTTCTAATTTATGGTCTGATTACCTAAACAAAGTTTAGCATAGTACAGAACCTACTGAGGTTTCTAAAACTTGCACCAACATGAAGCATTAAGGCTACTTACCCATTGGTCTGTAAACACTCATGAGTGAAGTAATCATATAGGGACCAACAAAATAACCATAGAATCATAGAATCATAGTTTGGCCTACAAGGGACCTTCAAAGGTCATGTAGTCCAGACCCTGCAATGAGCAGGGATATCTTCAACTAGATCAGGTTGTCCAGAAGCACATCCAGCCTGGCCTTGAATGTCTCCAGGGATGGCACATCCATCACCTCTCTGGGCAACCTGTGCCAAGGTTTTACCACTGTTACTTAAAATTTTTTTTCATCACATCCAGCCTGAATCTCTCCTCTTTTACTTTAAAACCATTACCCCTCAGGCTATTGCAACTCCTATGCAAATATAACTAAAAGAAAAATAAGGTCAATTTTTATATACAGGTCCATATAGGAGAAATTGACCTTTATGGAAGACATAACTTACGCGTCTGGTCCTTCAATGTCATCCACAACCCAGATGGCAATTTGTGAGATTTTGTCTTTCTGAAGATTAGGTATTTCATAATCTGCAAAAAAACTAATTCAAGAAACAAATTTTTCGAACTATACAGAACAAGAAAAATAAATAACCTTTTCCCATTTGCATTAATGGAGGCTTTGATCCTGCTATAGGATATGGGCTTGCTCAATTTTACATTTATATCTAATGATGACAATTAGACTCAACAGAGTAGAAAAACTCTGGTTCACATTCTGAATGCCCTCAAAGGTCAAAGGCATTTAATCAGAAGATCTGTTTTCACATTCTTTATCTTAGAAGGGCTCAGCTGAAAAAAAGTTAGAACTTAAGAGGTGAACCAGAATGAAGGGAACTTTTCAAAACGCAAAAAAAAAAACAACCCCAAAATATTTGATAATTAGTAAAAAAATTAAAAGGTCACTCTTGTAGTTAATGCTTTTAGACATTTCCTGGGTTCAGCAGTAGCAGTCATTTTCCTCCTTCTTAGTAGCTGGTACAGTGCTGTGTTTTCAACTTCAGTCTGAGAACAGCTCTGATACACCGATGATATTAGTTGTTACTAGGTAACGTTTACTCCCATCAAGGACTTTTCAGCCTCACACTCTGCCAGTGGGGAGGGCCACAGGAAGCCGGGAGTAAGCAGAGACAGGACACCTGACCCAAACTAGCCAAAGTATCCATACCACAGCATGTCATGCCCAGTGTATAAACCCAAGGGAGTCAGCTGGAAGGCCCAGATTGCTGCTCAGGTCAGGCTGTGTATCAGCTGGTGGGTGGTGAGTGGTTTTAATTGTGCACCACTTGTGTTTATTGTTTTCTTTTCCTTTTCCCTTTCCCTTTTAGTTTTATATTCTCTTCCCTTTTTATTTCCCTTACCATTATTATTATTGGTGGTAGTAGCAGTGGTTTGTGTTATACCTTAGTTACTGGACTGCTCTTATCTCAACTCGTGGGATTCCCACTGTCGTGGTTTAAGCCTGGCCAGTAATTCAGAACCACACAGACACTCGCTCCCGCCCGCCCCCCTTCCCTCCCACTCCTGGAGAAATAGGGAGGAGAATTGAAAGAATGTAACTCCCATGTTAAATTCAGATAAGAACAGTCCAGGAACTAAGGTAAACACAAACCACTTTTTTTTTTCTACAAAAGAAATAGATTTAAATGTACAAAATCACTGCAACATTGATGTGAAGTATGTATGCCTAGGATATGAAAGACCATAAAGGAGCAAGTTCTAGCCATGTCTAACCCTAGCTTAGGAAATCTTTCACTTTATTGCTTTGTGTAGGTATTTAAGTAACAATTAAAACAAGATAATAAAGTGGCAACTAAATCACAGAATCACAGAACAGTTTGGGTTGGAAAGGACCTTAAGGCTCATTCAGTTCCAACCCCCCTGCCACAGGCAGGGACACCTTCCACTAGAGGACGATGCTCCAAGCCCTGTCCTGCTTGACCTTGAACGCTTCCAGGGATGGGGCAGCCACAATTTCTTGGGGCAATCTGTTCCAGTGTCTCACCACTTTCACAGTAAAGAACTTCTTCCTGGTAAATAAAGATGCCAAATCTAAAGGATTATTTTAGTATCTGTAAACTGACTTTTCTGTGAGACGCAGGCATTTCAAAGCCACAGATTTCAAACCATTCCAGCAAGATGTACTGTAATGATTTCCAACCTTTAAATTGTTCTCATTTTTTATTTTTTTATTATTCATCAGAAAGCTTATAATGTCTGTGTCTGCACTGAATGCTTGGTCCTAATCTGAGCCTAAGTGTGTGCTCTAATTCGCCCATTATGGATCTTTTTGAATGTCTACCTCTGGGATGCAGTGTCTCTTAGCCACTTTCAATGCTCTAATACCCCCCAGACTAGAAGGGACTGTCAGCTGTCATCTCCTGCATGAGAGCAGCAGTGGCAATGTGATCACAGCTTTACCCTCCTGGTGCCTGCAGGCAAACTACTGGTGCTCTGGCAGGGAAGTAAAAGGCCTGGTGGTTGTCAGTATCTGTTGACAGCCAGCCGAGACCTGCTCATGGAGTTAGAAAGTTTAACCTTCTGGGGAAGCAAAAGCATTCGGCAGTGTCCCACATGACATCCTTGTCTCTAAATTGGAGAGACATCAATTTGATGAATGGACCACTCGGTGGATTAAGAACTGGCTGGAGGGCCGCACACAAAGAGTTGTGGTCAATGGCTCAATGTCCAGCTGGAGACCAGTAACGAGTGGTGTCCCTCAGGGATCAGTGTTGGAACTGGTCCTGTTCAACATCTTGTCGGTGACATGGACAGTGGGATTGAGCGCGCCCTCAGCAAGTTTGCCGATGACACCAAGCTGTGTGGTTCGGTTGATACGCTGGAGGGAAGGAATGCCATCCAGAGGGACCTTGACATGGTTGTGAGGTGGGCTGATGCCAACCTTATGAAGTTTAACCATGCCAAGTGCAAAGTCCTACACCTGGGTCGGAGCAATCCTAGACAGAGGTACAGGCTGGGCAGAGAAGAGATTCAGAGCAGCCCTGTGGAAAAGGACTTGGGGGTGTTGGTCGATGAGAAAATGAACATGAGCCGGCTTCAGTGTGCGCTTGCATCCCAGAAAGCCAACCGTATCCTGGGCTGCATCAAAAGAAGCGTGACCAGCAGGTCGAAGGAGGTGATCCTGCTCTTCTACTCTGCTCTCCTGAGACCTCACTCGGAGCATTGTGTGCAATTCTGGTGTCCTCAACATAAAAAGGACATGGAACTGTTGGAACAAGTCCGCAGGAGGGCCATGAGGATGATCAGGGGACTGGAGCACCTCCTGTATGAAGATCGGCTGAGAAAGTTAGGACTGTTCAGCCTGGAGAAGAGAAGGCTGTGTGGAGACCTCATAGCAGCCTTCCAGTATCTGAAGGGGGCCTATAAAGATGCTGGGGAGGGACTCTTCATTAGGGACTGTAGTGATAGGACAAGGGGGACTGTAGTGATAGGACTTAAACAGGGGAAGTTTAGATTGGATATAAGGAGGAAGTTCTTTACTGTAAGGGTGGTGAGGCACCAGAATGGGTTGCCCAAGGAAGTTGTGAATGCTCCATCCTTGGTGGTGTTCAAGGCCAGGTTGGACAGAGCCTTGGGTGACATGATTTAGTGTGAGGTGTCCCTGCCCATGGAAGGGGGGTTGGAACTACATAATCTTAAGGACCTTTCCAATCCTAACTATTCTATGCTTCTATGAAGTAGAACATGAGGAGGCGATAGCAGCAGTTGCCTGCTCTGGACAAGTATGGCTAACTAGAGACCAGTAGCAACAACAGCAGATTTGTCTGTCTGTTCAGGGTGTCCAAGCCTGTCTTAAACACATAGCAAAAATATAACCAAAGACAAAGATTTCAATTGTTTTTAACCCACTTGTTCATTCACATGTATGTTATTGCCAGTAAAAATGCAGCTTCTTCCAAAGTACAAATGAATCCTTAACTAGAGTCAGAAACTGTGGAGGAACAATGTACCACTGACTTCAGAATACCTATTTCTGAACTGGCTAACATAATTAAAGAAGTCTGCCAACTACGTGAGCAAAGTTATTTTGCAGTGAAGGGAGAAATAAATCTGAACTGAATTGGTAAGAGGTGACTTAATGATGATTTAAGTGCACAAAATGTAATTCAGGATAAACTTTGGGAGTGGTTTTGAAATGCTTGAAAATACATCAGAGAGATGTTTAGGAAGACAGGTGGATCTTTGAGATTACTTTCTGATACTAATTATTCAACTCCAAGCCTCTTTCAAACAAGATCTCTTAAAGAAGTTCAGCCATAAATATACCAGAAGATACACAGCAAAGAAAACAGATGGAGTAACTAATTGGCTTTTTTTTTTTTCTTGGCAGGCTGTGTTCCAGTGGTGGAAATTTCACTGGTTACAATACCTCCAAACACGCAACCCAGGGAACTGGTGGAATTAATTTGTGTGTATTGTGAAATAAGGAATCTGTAAATTAACAAAAAAAAAGTGAATCTGTTTCTGAAATAAGGCATCTGTACTGGATTCCTGGCTCTGCTCTGCTGCCAGCTGTTGTCATCTGCAGAAGACTTGATCCCAGCTGACAACCTGCCCAACCCAAGAGAATCATATATCTTCTTGATTAGTTGAAAGCTGTGTACAGAGACGGACCTTTGGGGGATGGAGGTAAGTAGGTAGTAGGTGTTTTGGAACAGATGGTGCTTGCTACTCTCCTATATGGAGATAAAATTAACTTTTCAATGATTACTTCTAGTCCACAGTGAACACACAGGAGAAGGATCTGTTATATGGGTCTTTAAAAGACTTTTTTTTTTTGTCTGCCTTGGACAGGACTCAAGGTAAGGAAAGATGTAGTTACCTGAGGTAAAGAAAGATGTATTTTTCATCAAAGCTGGAAAGTCATTATAGCCACATATTCAGTAAAAGTTCTCAAGGGTGTACTTTTACAGTAAGTTTCATATATAAGCTTAGAAGAACTTGTGCATAGTGCTACATTTATAAATCAGAAAAAAAAAAATCTGTCCTTAATATATGAGGGAATAAGGAGAATAGGAAGCTAATCCTTGCTATCATTCTTCTCAATAAGCTTTTTTTTTGCTTTCTTAAGCCAAATCTTTCTTCTACCTCCTCTTTTGGTCTTGAAGAAATAGCAGGTAAAAGTATTTTCCCTATAGAACTTACCAAGTTTGTTCCTAGACCTGACAGAGGCTACACTCCTTGTAATGATGTCCTCTCCTTGGAGATGTCTCTGAATAGAAATTTTGTAATGCTCATCTTTTTGAAAACATGCACATTTTGCCACAGTTATGTGGGCTCACTTAAAGGATGCTTTCAAAGGACATTTATCCTGCTTGCCACAGCAGTTTGTAAAATGCAGGAGTCCAAAGGATTGTTTCCATCCACTTCATATTAATTCCTACATCTGAGTACAATTAACAGTTGTCCCCACAACACAGCAGACTTTGATGCAACAGGCTCTTTTAGCCACCTTCCCATGCAGGAGAAAACCCAAACAACTGATTGACCCTTTTTTTGCAGGCATCAGGCCATTTACACAGAAATAACTCAGTTTTCTTACCCTGGCTCTGGATAAGCTCCTCCAACTGCAGAACCATTCAACAAGACATGTATCACCCCAGAACTGTGCTGTGCATACTGCAATAGATAACAGGGTTTTTTCAGAACTTACAGATTTGTTACATGACTTGGTATTGTATTGCAAGCATCAACGACCAAAGAAAGAGTTTTATCAAGAAGACATATCGGAATTGTGAAAATAATACTAAACTAGCACCCTAGCAGGTCACTGCAGTAGAGAGAATAAGAAACTAAATAGCCAGAGCATTAAATTAATACATCTATTTTCTCACACCTATAAGTAGTTTCTTCAGCATAGGAAGAAAGCTTTTTGGCACTCTGTGTTGGGTTTGATCTGTGAATTATGTTTAATATATACTAACAAAGCTAACAGAATTTTAACACATTATCTAAGGTGAAAGGTTACTCTTGCTAGAACACTGCACCTGGTGTAAACCAGTGTATTTGTATCAGAGGAACTAATCTAACACAGTTACAAACTTAAACCTGGTCTGATCCCATGATGTTTCCCTGAATCACCCAGGACACACTCAGTAATGAATGAAGTCAGAAGTAATTAATTATTTACAGTGATTGAGGCCATCCTCCAGAAAGATTCCACCGCGTTGTTTTCACATTCCTCCGTGGTAGGGCAGGATTCATAGTCCATTTCTGTAGGAAGGCATGTGATTTATGCTATTAGAGAGATGATTAGGACTGTAAAAAGTGATATTAGAAAGCAATTAAATGTATTTTGCGCATTATTTACTGAACATACAAGATGGTCTGACACAACACTGAAAACGACAGTTGTATTTTTTTCTATCATTTTCCATCCTGTGCACTTCATGTAAACAGTGAAATTCTGTGGATTCAATAATTTGGCTAAAACAGCTATAACACTGTATCTGGGATGCAGAGAGCTCTGCATTCAGAGGATTAAGAAGGAGGTTTATCTCCTGTGCTGCACTGTTTAGATTTCACTGTTGTTCCCCTGACCACAATGTTACATATTCACACAAAACAGAAGAGAATGAGATAGTGAAGCTCGCTCTGATTTTTCATGGAGTAAGAGCAAAACTAGGTCCTTCAGAACACAGCAGTTGTTCTCCACTGTGGTTTTAAACACAGATGTTTAATATAGTACACATTGTCTTACCAATGCTGTTGGCCTGCCCACACCAGTTTAGAAAATCTCCAAAGCAGCCAAACAGAGTATCAGCCAGAGACATGTAGCGCCGGCCCCTGCCAGCAAAGCTGTTGACTAGCAGATGATTATTTTCCCAGAAGAGAGACTACATAAAAAAAAGGGGGGAAGGGGGGAAGGGGGGGCGAGAGAAGAAGAGAAGAACAAATGAAACATCACTCGGGCATGGACACACTGAGATTATGGGGTGCTGAACACAGTTTTAAAGATGTTTTGGTATTTGTTCAAAATCAAGCTAATAACCTGAAATGTTACCTATATCTTTAGGGGAACGAAGTTGTTTGGGTTTTTTTTGGTTTAGTTTGGTTTTTTTTTTTTTTACAGTGATATAAATTCTGATCACTAGAGGCTTGAGGAGTATTTATACCATGATAGGAATGGATATAGACTTATATTAAGTATAGTTAGGCCTAGCTTTGCCTTCCTCAGCAGACAGATTTAGGAAAAGGGAGGAAAAGGAGAAGACATTTATAAGGCAGATATGTTTTACCAGGAGTCTCTCACACTACTATGTTGGCTTATGAGGTGAACAAAATCATTCATCTAGCTGTTATTTCTGTGCTTGCAGAACTCTTTCATGAATTAAGCTATGGTGACAGCAGTATTTGTTGGTTTCGCTTGTATGATTTAGAGATAAGGAATAACTGTGCTAAATGTAAAACTGCTTTAAAGCACCACCTTTTAGAGAAGGCCAAAGCACACATTCTGATGGCGTGAAGAGCTGTGTTTTTTGCACTTTCACAGTTCTCTGCAACTGCCAGCACATTAAACCCTTACTGTTTTCTAGCACATAATGGAGTCCTGTCCGTTACTGCTTATGTTTGTTTAACATGTCAATGTTTAACACGCCATTGCCCTGCGACTTGGCTGTGAGGAGTGGAAGCAAAAGGAAACAGCAGGCACACCAGGTGCAGGCAGAGCACCTAACTTGAGGAAAGGAGAAGTGGAGGTTCAGGAACCATGACAAAGCACCCAGTACAGCAGGAAAAACGGGGGATCTTTGTGAAAAAAATAGAGAAGTTGCTGAAAAGTTACTGCATAAAATAAATGCAGTCAAACACATTGAAAAACGCCATCAAGCCAGAGTCTCATTTGTAAACTACAGACAGGCAAAAATAATGAATCATGAGTCAGCCACATAATGACTTTTGGTCAATTTTGAACTGTGTCATGGAAAATCTGCTGGATCTCACAGGACTGTTAACATAACATTAAAAATCATTACCTTGTTAGGTGGAATTGTGTGCAAGGACAGGTTGATAAATAATTCATAGTCCTCAGGCAGAATGTTGCAAGGATCCTTGTTAATAAATGCATTTTTAAATGCTTCCCATATCTCTGAACAGTTTTTCTCCCTGTAATCATTCAAACAAATAGCAGAGTTTTCTCAAAGCAGAACAAGGAATTTATTTGTTCCCAAATTCTTCAAATTCCCAAATTAAAACCACTACAAGTTTAAGATACAAAACTGAAGTCAGAGTGGTAGCAAACTTGTAATCCAGGAAGAGCATATACATTTTGTCTCATTCTCACTCCTAAGAGCAGCAGATTATGAAGAAATAGCAATGAAAATATTAGGATTGACAGTGTTGAATTAGAGACACATAGTAATTCAACAAAAAACTGAGAAGGTACACTCTGCACAATGACCTTATTATCCAGCATTGTAGAAATACTGAAGAAAACAGCTTTCTTTGAAATATTCAAGATTGAAAATGCCATTTCAATTAAAGCGTAGCAAAACGTGCAAACCTACTGAAACATAAAATTACTCTTAAAATGTCATATTCAAACGTAAGAGTTGTTACTGGAAAGTTTTGATAGTAGAATAATGGTTTTGACAGAGAGATATTTTCTGTGTATATAAACCCTAGGGTTATGCAACTTTACCTTGCTGGAAGGAGTACAGTGACCATGTGGGACATGTACTGTCACTGTGCAGCAGCTACAAGAATATTGTTAGGATTCAGCATCATGAAGAGAGGCCTGAAATAAGATGCTAGGCTGTGCACTTCGACATTTCCCTTCTACCAGCTCTGCCCTGGGGGCAATAATCTGCGGAAGGACAGGACAGACCATCTAGGAAGTGTATCTCTCTGGATTTGCTGGATCTCATCTGTCACAGCTCTGAGCCTGCCTGGAGTAATTAAAAAGAGAATTTCTACTTTCACCACTTTCCCATAGTACCTTCCCCACATATGCTGTGACAATGTCTATGCTTGGAATACTCTGCAGAACAGAATAATGTATATCAAGAGCATACAGCATCCTAATGTGAACAGCTGTAATTGCAAAGCTCTAGCTTGAACAACAGTAGTCCTGGTAAGTAAACCAAACATTACCATTACATGTTTTGCTCATTTAATGTCATCCATAGCAGCAGGGTTTCTGCTAGGCTACACCTTGTGACATCCTTTAAGGAGCTGTTTTGTGATGTTAAATGTCACAGAAACTTTAAAGGACCCCTTGTGATGAGCTAACCAGCTCCCAAGCAGGAAACAGATCACAGACTCTCTTGCAGTTATCCCTAGTCATGCTTCCAACAGCTATACAAAAAATTCCAAAATATCATAAGCAAATGTGGGATCTTGATCTGATCTTCAGTGATGCAACATGGCCTTGTTCAGTAGTTCCAATGTTTAAATGGATTTACTTGATAAAAGGATTTGCACCCTATTTCAAGGTGTTAAACTTTAGCTTCTGATAATTGTGTATGTCTCATTCTGCTAAAGAGCTGTCTACTGTAAGCACTCCTTATTCATGGCAGTACTTGTCAATTATGATCAACTGAACTGTTAACACCTTTCCTGACAGCTGAATCCATCAGTAATTTTTTTGGTTAATTCACATATTGCATGTTTTTTTTTCTTCATGTCTTCTCATCCAGGTTTGAACAGCTTGTACACCAAAAGGATTATTCTGCTCCATTACTCAAAATTTCTTAGCTGGCAAAAACACTTTTTGAAATTACAGGGTGGGGAAGGACTGTAGTTCAGACAATACCTTCCAATCTTAATAGACGTTAATAAGTCTTATTAGATTTATTTCATACTAGTCAGTCAAAAAAAAATGTTTTCAGAACTTCCATTATATACTGCAAATAAAGAAATATGGGGAAACACTGCAGGAACATTTGTGTTACATAGCATGCTCCTATAAGAAATCAGATTTTCATTCAAATCCCTCACTTCTACATGACATTCCACATTTTGGAAAACGCCTCTCTTAATTGCCATTTTTCATGTTCTAAGATAAGGAAAAGTTTTTCTTATCTTCTATAGACACCTTTATGTTCTAATTATGCTGCAGTGTAAAGGCATGCCATGCTAGCTTCTCTTCTGTTAGCAAAGTAGTTTTAAAAAATTATTCTATTTGCCCATAAATTCAGAAGCAAAACCTACCCAGGTGGCTATTCCTCTATAAAAGCTAGCCTGGGGGCAATTAAGAAAGAAACAATGAATAAAAAGGGTTACAAATAATTAGAGTATCTGTTTTGCACTTGTGCAATAAGAAATTTCCATTCTGTTTAGATTACACTGTTTGCTTATAGACCTAAGGGAAAGAGAAAAGAACACACCATATGAAATTAATTGTGCAGCTCTTCTTTTTATAATGGTATTTGGGCCTTATTTCAGGAAAGCAGTGCTAATGTCCAGCCTGGCTTCAGGCTATTCTGAAAAAAGGAATACTTTGATAAATGTGTTCAGACTTCTCAATTTTAAAGTTACATTGTGAAAATGTCACAGGAATTAATTAGACCACAAAACAGTCATAAACATAAGACATATAGAAATACTTTCTAAGAACACTTCATTTACATTTCTAAAAGCCAAAATCAGTTAATGATAAAGTTAACATTTCCAGAATAACAATTCCTATGTTGCTTTTTAACGTATTTGTATTATTAGTCATGTCCTGCTTCACATATAAATGAAGTGACACCTGTTAACTCCAACAAGAACTCTACCTAAAGCCTGCTGCAGACCAGACTTCATATACTTACACAACTATTAACTGACTTAGGTTTTCATAGTTGATATCATATATTATATTGTAGGTATGTGGAACACTATAGTTAAATTTTACTGGCACCTTCCACAGTAATGTGTTTATAAAATTGCCTGACTGGAATTCTTCAACTGAAACTTTAGTACCATTTTATTTGCATTAGGATGCTTTCTTCTTCTTTCACGGGGAACCGAACCAAAATTCTTCTGATAAGTGTTATTAGCAAGAAACATCAGTTTGCCTTTGTAAAAAGCCATTAACTCGTTTTCAGTCCCGTATCTTCCTCTTTTACAGCAGGAACTGAAAATGGGAGGTTGGCGGAAGGAGGTGATATTTGCTGATATTATGCAACATAATCTAATCCTGTTTATGACCATGCTTGAGTGCTGCAGACTCACCCAGGCCACCTCTGCAAATACCTCTTCAAACTAGCAGGAAAGAATTAAGCTACAGAAAAAAGAACTGAACTCCAGGAGACCGTCCTTATTAATATCTTCCTTTTTACCAAAGCCCAAACAATGTTATGGAAAGAAAAAGTGGTCATTTTAGCAAAGTGTGTCACTTATCTCCAGTTAGAATCATAGAATAGTTAAGGTTGGAAAGGACCTTAAGACGATCTAGTTCCAAGCCCCTGCCATGGGCTCCCAACCTCCCACTAACACAGTTCTGTGTAATTAACACAGATAATGAAAGTTCATGGGTAATCATACTTCACAGTTGGTTACTACTTGATTTTTGAGGTGGATGAAGTAAATAACCTTTTTCAGTACCATAGGATAGCTATAAAACGTGGTGTTTCCTTCTTACGTGACCTGACTGACATACAAGGCATGCAAAGTAAAGCTGGTCTTCCCAGGAGCACTGTCAGCTTTGGTACTTAAGAAATACAGTCCCCACCATTTCTGTATCTTCTCCTTACAGAACACTGTGGCACTAGGGGGAAATGTGAAATAAAAAAATTGAAGGACTAAAAATCTTGTTTTAATTACATTACTTTTATTAATATGACGTCTGTCAAAGTTAATTTTTTGTTTCCAGACAGCTACATTCATGTTGGCTTCAACAGGATCACTTTCATGGCTAAAAGTGAAGCATGAGGCTTCTGATTAACAACCAGAACATAAAAAATAATACAGAAATAAGCAAAACTTACCCCACAGCAGGATTCACAATCCTAATATAGTCATAGCATCTTCCAATGACAATATTTTCCAGGTTTTGTGTTGTACCTTCACCTTTCCATTTCCCTCCCTGCACTTCTGAGAAGCTGCTCATAAACAGAACAGAGACAACTAAGAGAGGCAAAAAAAGGTTCTTCATCATGAATTCCTGAGAAAAACAAGTTCTTTTACCAAAAAAAAAAAAAAAAAAGAAAAAGAAAGAAATAAGAAAGAGTGTTAAATGATACGATTTACATGGAAACCTGCAGGCTTAACATTTAACATTTTCAATATTGGCTATAGTTCTTTACGCAGAAGACGAACTTAGACGGAAATCTGAACCTTGCTGGGACTGTAATATAACAATTTCCTGGAACGATTACAGCACAGGGATACATCACTTCCTCAAATCTAACTGTTCCCCACTCAAAAAAACGAGACTTTTAAGGTTATGATATTGCCATCTGCTGATAACTGAGAAGAATTACAGTTTATTTCAGTAAATGACGAAAAACCTCTTACCACTTCAGTACTTAAGATAAGTTTGCTCAGTATTCATTGCCATGTTACACCTTCCTCAAACCTCGCAAGTGTGTGAAAGCAACATTTTAAAACAGTCTATTTTCATTTCAGAGGAGCTATATTTTTTACTTTTAATTCATATATTTCTCTAATTGTTGAAAAAATGCTGAAATATGTATCAAGAACAAGAAGTAAGAAATATGCAGATAAAGCAATGATTGCATAAATACTCAAATTCTCAGGTGATCTTCTGTCACACAGCAGGGGTAACATTTGTCAGCTCATTTTCCACCTTTCCCCTGGATACTGATAGCAACATTTTAGCGTGATGAGTTTTAAAGTCTTCATGAACCAAACCACCTTGCAGGCAGGTTCTAAACCATAATGAGAACCAAAAGGGTTGCCATACTTCCTGTGCACTGAAGAAATCTCTTCAACTTCTAGGGTTACTGTTATCCTCCCTCCAGCTTCTTTTTCCTAAGTGCCTTGCTAAATCATCAAATAGCATCAGTTAATCTAATCTTCTGTGTAAATAGTCTGTGCAAATACAGTCACACTACTTTTCTCCCCTTGAGAAAAAAATGAAGTATTTTTTCAACCTTAATTTGTCCATGGACTCACACTTCTGAGGAACATGCTGGTTCCTTTGCTCTTTCTATTAAACGGCCTCCACACCTCTGTGAATATCTACATCTTTATTATTTATGTACTTAATTCATAGAGTGTCATGCTTACATTGAAACATTGGCACTCAGCTGATGGATTCTGCCAAAGGCAAAATCTTGCTCATCACTGAGTAAATAGGTGATGACAGATTTCTCCCATAAACGTGTTATAAAGATATCACCTGGGTCAGAGCAATCCCAGGCACAGCTACAGGTTGGGCAGAGAAGAGATTCAGAGCAGCCCTCCAGAGAAGGACTTGGGGGTGCTGGTCGATGAGAAAATGAACATGAGCTGGCAGTGTGCACTTGCAGCCCAGAAAGCCAACCGTATCCTGGGCTGCATCAAAAGGAGTGTGACCAGCAGGTCAAAGGAGGTGATCCTGCCCCTCTGCTCTGCTCTCAGGAGACCTCACTTGGAGCATTGTGTGCAGTTCTGGTGTCCTCAACATAAAAAGGACATGGAAATGTTGGAACAAGTCCACAGGAGGGCCATGAGGATGATCAGGGGACTGGAGCACCTCCTGTATGAAGATCGGCTGAGAAAGTTGGGGCTGTTCAGCCTGGAGAAGGGAAGGCTGTGTGGAGACCTCATAGCAGCCTTCCAGTATCTGAAGGGGGCCTACAGGGATGCTAGGGAGGGACTCTTCATTAGGGACTGTAGTGATAGGACAAGGGGGACTGTAGTGATAGGACTTAAACAGGGGAAGTTTAGATTGGATATAAGGAGGAAGTTCTTTACTGTAAGGGTGGTGAGGCACTGGAATGGGTTGCCCAGGGAGGTTGTGAATGCTCCATCCCTGGCGGTGTTCAAGGCTAGGCTGGACAGAGCCTTAGGGGACATGATTTAGTGTGAGGTGTCCCTGCCTATAGCAGGGGGTTGGAACTGGATGATCTTAAGGTCCTTTCCAACTCAACAGCTGGGATCCTCATCTCATCCTATTGAGCTCCCTTTCCTCAGTGGCCACTTCTAGAAACAGAGCATCAGTCCAGAAGAGCCTCTGATTTGACTCAGCCCAGCCATTTTTAATATATGTTCTTAGTTTTGATTCAAATTCTTCATATGATGGCTAAACTAACACACCTCCAGGGAAATTGTGCACTGGTTTGATAGCCTTGAGTGTCAATCCTTCAATCTGTCTTGAACTTGTCTACCTTTAGCTTCCAGTCACTGGATCATGTGATGTCTTTAATGAACTACCCTGAGAAATCTTCTGTCCTTGTAACGCCTTGTAGAAAGGGACCAAGCCTCCCTTTAAACTTGTCCATGAAAATGTCAGTAATTGAATCCCATTATCAGCCAATTTGCCTTACTGTACTGTACTTCACTGCCACAGACTGGCTGTTCCATCTTGTCTCCCAAGCTCTGGCAGTTCATGTTGGATGCAGACAGCTTCCCCTCACTCTTAGAAGATGTTATTGCCCATGAAGGAGAGTCAGCAAAATCAGCAGCATATCTGCTCGAGAAATATTCTAGATCAAAAACTGAAAATTAACTCAAATGATCATGAAATTTGGCATATGTTTATCTTTTGCACCCCTGGAGGCTGAGGAACGGACATGTTCTCTCTTGTTATTTCTATCAGATGGGAGTGGTAACTTCCAGCAGAGGAAGGTGCAACGGGAGGGAACGTTAACCTTCTATTAGTACTCAGGCATGAACTGCTGGCAGAATAACCCTAATTATGCATGACTTCATGCTTTTGGCCTGGAAATAAGATCTTGGAACTGCTCATAATGAAAAGCTCCTGTAAGCTAAGAACCTCAGCAAACATTATTTCTGGCGGGCTTGTGTCTTTTGTACGTAATTCTACTTACAGCAGTAACCTAAGGCCCCAGCCGCTCCTTAGTATGCTATGATACACTCTCTGTGCGAGAAGTGCACAAGCCCAAAGTCAGAGCTGTGCTTATTAGCCAAGCAGTAGATAGAACCACCTGGCCAGCTGCGCAAGATCTCTGCTTTGCCTTTTTCTTCTCTCATGTTGTCAGGGTCCGACTGGGGGAAACCCCACGGCTGGACCCTCTTTCAGTTCATGATCCCAAGAGTGAAATGAAGATGCAAATGAGGTCAAGTACCATAATCGATTAGTTGGTTTATTACAAAAAGGCAGTTATTATACAAAAGGGAAAATTGTAATAAAGGGGATAGCGATAGGACAGACTGGAAAAAAGGTAGAAAATGAAGCAAGGATTTGGGGTGCAGAGAGAGAGAGATAGTCACCACCATTGATCCAGAAGTGTTCTGAGGATCCACTGTCATCGTCGGTGGTGGTGGGAGTTCTTCAGGGTTCATAGTTGGACCACAGCGTCCCCCAAGAGTCTGTGGGAGGTGGGTGTCCTCGTGGAGGTGCTCTTCTGGAGCTCCCTTGAAGGTACTCTGTGAAGTGTCTCTTGGAGTTGCCCTCATGCAATGTCTCATGGAAGGTGTCCCTCGGGGTCCATAGTAGTTTTCGGTAGAGTGCTCTCACAGAGGTGTCCTTCTGGAGTCATCCTCATGGCAATGGCTCCCTGGCAATGTGCCTCTCCACGATTACCTTTTCCCTCTTTTATAATGAGTTGGGGGGAGTACCTCTGTTCTTCATGTCACGTATTACTCATTCCTGGTGGACCAGTTTCCCTGGTCTTGCAGCCAGCTCTTCAACGGCACCTGTCTGCACACACACATGTGTCTGCAGCAATTCTTGGGAAAATGGGTAGCAATTCCTCACACCAGTGGTAGAGTTAATGGAAGTCTCAGCTCTTTCCCACTCATCCCTTAGGCAATGGATGGTGGAGTCCCAGTTCAGCTCCTCACACCCTTCTCCCAGGCAATGGATATTGGAGTCTTATCTCAACTCCTCCCACCCATCTCTGAGACAAAAAATAGGTGGATTTCCACCTCAGCTTCTCAGACCAATCTTTGAGACAATGGATAGTGGAATCTGGTTTCAGATCAGTCTCTCACACATGTGTAACTGCTTTTTTCCCCCAGAGTTTTACAAATTTAACCTTCCAAGATTCATACATATTTGCAGATATGATTTAAGTAGGCCAGCATGTTCAAAATCCTTTGAGGTGGAAAGGATGAATGGAAAAGGAAACACTCAATACCGTAATTGCTTAAGCCTCATTTCCTTAGATAAAGAGCTAAAAAGATTATTGTGCACAGTGTGATCTAGATAACCCTCATTGCATGGTCTCTCAATTCACTATCTACTACTTTTACCAGCAACAGTTTCACATTTTATACCTAGGCATCAGTTCATTGAGGAATACTGGAATAACAACATACGTGTGCCCTTGGTTGAAATACTTCAATCTGTTTACAGTTAATTGCTTACATCTATAGATTGGTGAGTTTTTAGTGTATTTAATATCTTCAATGTAGATTTTTTTACAGTAATAGCTTTTGGTCAGAAAGTCTGCTGCATTTATTATGTTTGTCAGTATGTTTTGGGGACACTTATACATTGCCATGCTGGTCAGCAGTTTTACTACACATTGCATTGTTGGCTGACAGCTATATTTTTTTTCCAAACTGGGTGTAATCTCAATTCTGCTAAGTGTTCCTGCTGGTTTAGAATTGTCGCATGGGCAGATGAGTATCAAAGGTTGGTGTTCCTGCTTGTCTTAAGATGTTAAACACATTAAACTCGACTTATTTGGCACCAATGCAGCAAGAAGTTAGGTGCAGATTGCCTGCTGCAGTTCAGTTTGGGCCATGTATGTCTACAAAATGATTTGGGTTGGAAGGGACCTTAAAGATCATCCGGTTCCATGGGGAGGGCCACCTTCCACTAGACCAGGTTGCTCAAAGCCCCATCCAGCTTGGTGTTGAACACTGTCAGGGATGGGGCATTAAGATGCACCAGGTTGGATGTTAGGAAAAATTTCTTCACCGAGAGGGTAACCAGGTATTGGAACAGGCTGCCCAAAGAAGTGGTGGAATCAGTCTTGAAAGTGCTCAAAAAAGATGACAATGAGGCCCTTAGCAATGTGGTTTAGTGGTGACCTTGGCAGCGCTGCAGTAATGGTTGGACTTAATTAT